TATTGATTAGGTGGATGAGATTGCCTAGATGGGGAAGTCCACTATGTTGGAGGCCTTTGTAAGATTTTGTGATGCAGTCAAAATTCTGTACACTAGGGACTACCAGCGCAGACCTACTCCCTAGGACCTCCAACGGCTTCTACAAAAAGCCGAAGCTCGAGTATTTTCAGGAATAATTGGTAGCATCGACTGCATGCAATGACAATGGAAGAATTGCCCAATTGCCTAGCAAGGAGATTACGAAAATAGAAAAGGCCAAAAAAGTATCATCCTGGAAGCCGTTGCTGGCTTCGACACATGGGTTTGGCATGCCTTCTTCGGAGTTACCGGAGCCCAAAATGACCTCAACGTCCTGGGTCAATCTTTGGTCTTCAATGATATTTTGAGAGGCCAAGGCCCCAATATTACCTATCAAGTCAACAATATAGTCTACCAGCCAGGGTATTATCTAGCTGGCGGTATCTACCCAAGGTGGACCCCATTTGTCAAATAATTTCAAATTTAGGATTAATTTCAAATTTCAAATAAGATTTTCATCCTATCAAATCAAGCCACGTGACATCTTTATTTGGCCAAAATTTTCTATAAAACCAGAGGCTCAGCTCATACCTATCACACAACATCTTTCTATATTTTCATTTCTCAAAGTTTAGAATTCATACTTCATTCTCAATGGAAGATTTGAGGAGATGCTTGGAGAGGCAAGAGCGAGAAACAAATGAGAGAAGCCGTAAATGAGCTGAAAGGTAAAGGTTGCAGAGAAAAGAAGATGAACAAGTTGTCATAGCAGTGGCTTTGCTTGATGAAGAGAACCAAGGTCGCCGCTGTGGTTCACAAGTCAACCGTGGCTCGAATATAGACAGACAAAGGCATTCTCGAGGTAAGAATCTTTTGGAAGATTATTTTATCTCAACTTCTTTGTACTCTGATGTTGATTTTCGAAGGCAATATAGAATAGAACCCCATTTGTTCAATAAAGTCATGCATGATATTTGCAATTATGATGCATACTTTGTTCAAAATTGTGATGCTGCTGGGGTTTTAGGACTTCTTCCGGAGCAAAAGCTTACAGCTGTTATACGAATGTTGGTGTATGGTTCATCTATTGATTAGGTGGATGAGATTGCCTAGATGGGGAAGTCCACTATGTTGGAGGCCTTTGTAAGATTTTGTGATGCAGTCAAAATTCTGTACACTAGGGACTACCAGCGCAGACCTACTCCCTAGGACCTCCAACGGCTTCTACAAAAAGCCGAAGCTCGAGTATTTTCAGGAATAATTGGTAGCATCGACTGCATGCAATGACAATGGAAGAATTGCCCAATTGCCTAGCAAGGAGATTACGAAAATAGAAAAGGCCAAAAAAGTATCATCCTTGAAGCCGTTACTTGCTTCGATACATGGGTTTGGCATGCCTTCTTTCGAGTTGCCGGATCCCAAAATGACCTCAACGTGCTGGGTCAATCCCCGGTCTTCAACAATATTTTGAGAGGTGAAGGCCCGAATATCACCTATCAAATCAACAATACAGTGTATCAGACGGGGTATTATCTAGCTGGAGGCATCCACCCGAGATGGACCACATTTGTCAAATCCATTCCGAATCCCGGATCCCAGAAGCAAAGATTATTTGCTTCATATCAAGAAGGATACATGAAAAATGTCGAAAGGTGTTTTGGCATCCTTTAAGCTCAGTGGTTGATTATTCGAGGTGCGGTGCGTATGTTTGATGATGAGGTCCTGAGAAGCATTATGATGACTTGCATCATCCTCCATAATATGATTGTGGAGGATGAGTATGATTACAATGCTGCAGAGGTCTAAGAACCGGATCCCATGAACACGGTCTGACACGAATTTATGGAAGGCCCATGGGGCCAAGTGGAGAACTGTTTGAGCCGGATCCGTTGGTTAAGGATGGTCATTTCATGACTCATATGATAGATCGATATACAGATATGCAATCTTCGTATATTCATGAAAGGCGTCAACTTGACTTGATGGAGCTTTATGGGCGGTGAAAGGCAATGAAGGTGAATGATGGAGCATAGATGCTTTAGTTAGGTTTTTTTTAGTAATGGTTTGGTTGTGTTGTTTTATTATTATTATTATTATGGTTTGGTTGTGGTTTGTTATTATTATTGTGCATTGGTTGTAGTTTTTTTTTTAATTTTTTTTTATTATACTTTGGTTGTGGTTTTTCCTTTTAATTATGTTTTGTTTGATGTATGGAATATGTTGAATAAAAATGTATTTTATTGAAGGCTTTGTTTATAAAATAAAGAAAGCCAATACAAGTCATTAAGAACTACTACTACTAAAATAAAATACATGAATTACAACAACTTTAATACAAAACATGAAAAATACAAATAAATAAAAGGTATGCCAACTAATTTAATGGTTTTGATCATTTAACCAATCCGTGTTGCTAGGTCCATCATCATGGAAAAGTCTTCTTCTCATAACATCCCTTCGTTCTAGCTTCCAAAATTGTTTTGTTTCAGGGGACATATGAGTTGTATCCATGGCCATGGTTTCCCGATCCGTCTTCTCAATGTGTTGTTTGCACAAATACTCCATTTCTTGTAAATATTCTGCTCGAATTGCCATCTCATTCTCTTGGTGTTTCTTCTCCATTTCAATTCTTATGGCAGCCTACCTCGCAATTTCCTCCAAAATTTTTGATGTATTATTAGTGCTAGAATTACTCCCTTTCTTCGCCTTCGCAGCCTTTCGGCCAATGGTCCTCGACTTCTTTTCGATGGGTGAGTCTTGACTCATAGGAAAATCGAGAGGTGAATTCGATGTCGTTGAATCATAGAGTGACGTCTCGTTTAACATAATGGCGGGACCCGTGGGAATAATTCTGAAGCGTTTGCAATTTTTCACCACCTCCCAACATTCATGATGGTTGAAAGTTTTTTTGCCTTGCCCAATTGCACCAAACCACATATGTGCTTGAATCATCTATTAACAAAAAAAATATAATGGAAATGCAAGAAATATTTAAAATATATTGGATATGCAAGTAACATAAAAAAAAAAATGAAAATGCAATTAACCTTACAAATATATTGGAAATGCAACAAATATTAACAAAATATTATTTATGCAAGAAATATTAAGAAACAATTGGAAATGCAAGAAATATTAACAAAATATTGAAAATGCAAGAAACATTATATATATATATATATATATATATTAGGACATTAAACTTATTAAAACGAAAATTACAAAATATTTACCTTGCTACTAAGATTTTCCCCGCTTCTATGGTTGTCCCTCGCTTTTGCCAAGGCATCTCTCAATTTTCCAACTCTTTATTAAGAATTTTTCACCTACTAGACAATGTTATTTCCGTACGAGTCAACCCCGGAATTCTCTCACAAAATTCGGCATGAATTTTTTTCCACATATGATAAAATTTCATCTCATTGCCTGACACGGGACAATGACTAATTTGGAGCCAAGACTCAGACAAGAAAACATCTTCCATGGTGCTCCACGCCCCTCCGGTTTCGATAGAAAAAGCCATAAAGATAAGAAATATAAATACAATTTGAAATAGAGGAAAATGTTGAGTAAATAGTGAATAATAGTAGAAGTAGAAGAAAATGTATGAGGATTGGTGTTGAAAGTGAAGGGTATTGACAGGTATTTATAGAAGAAAAAAAATTCAGAATTTTTTGGTATTTTTTACAAAAAATTTCAATTTTTTTTCATAATTTTATTGCCAAAAATAGGCTAGCTGTTGGATTGGAGGAGGACAAGCAGATTAGAGCGCCCAAGCTGCCACACGTGTCTTTTAGCCGTTGGAAACGCGCAGGGTTGACGTCATCCTCCCCTTGGGCTCGAGCTCGGGCGAAACTTGCCTTCGGGCCAGCTTGTCTTCGTGGGTCCCACAGCCAGCTGGGGCAAAAGTGGCCCACTGGAACTGGGTTTTTCGCGCAGAGCGCCCCTCCCCCCCCCCCCCACAAAAAAAACCCGGGCTCCTCGGTAGAATCACTCTAAAGAGCCCGACTAGTATATAGTCTATACTGTTTTGACCCGTTTGATTCGCAAAATGAATTCTATAAAAAAATTTGTTTACATAAGTTTGGTGTACAAATAGCGGTGGCAGCTGAGAGTTTTGCACATAAATTAGGATTAATTAGGACCTCATACAATCTAAACTATTACAAGAGGGAGAGAGGTTTCTCACACACTATCAATGTGCTATAGGGATTCGAACTTGAGACTAATAGTATGCTATAATGATTCGAAATTGAGACTACTAGTATGATCTACAAATCAATAACATTTTCCACTACACTAGACCTGTTGGCACCCTCACACCATCAAATGCCACTTGAACCGTATGCATGTTTGCATGAAAGATTGAACCAAACTACGAAAAATTGAAAACACAAAGCATAACCCAAAATATTGTAATTTAGGGTTGGGCCAGGGCTGAGAAAAGCATGGCTTAGGGCCTACCATTTTAAAAAAAAATGTGCGAGCCCAAGCCTATCCATACAATCGGGCTAACCTGTGGCTCGAAACAACATATCAAGCTTGGGAAGGGCCTCATGGATTGACCAAATCCTCATATTCCACCAGAAGACTGAAACTAGACAGGATTTCCTGAAAGCCTTCTATCGGCAATGGCAGATTTTGACCTTTGACTTGCTTGCCTGGTGGACTTGCGGAGAGCTTTGAGAGGAAGCAGATCCTCAAAGGGAATTGTAGTCATTGAGCCGGGGGGGCCTCACTTCCCCCGGACCCCCCTATTAGTTACACCCTCGAAAAGAAAAGTTTGTATAGCCTAGCGCAAACAAAAGAAAAAAATGAAATAAAAGAGAAAGGGACAAAAAACACAATGAGCATGAAGCTAAACACTATAAGACCGTACTTACTATTAACACTTATTCATGCAGAAACGACAGAACGAGAAAAAATAGATAGAAGAGTCATAAACGAAAGAATCATCAAGATGTTTCAATGCAGATCAGTCATAATAGCAAAGGAAAATCACAGACAGGTGGAGGAAGATAAACGTCCTCACTACCTTACTCCCCAATTACACTGCCCATAAAGAAATCCTCAATTTTACAATGTTTGCTCAAATACATTCGGTTGGGAAGGGCATGGCCAATCACCGAACTGGATTCAATAATGTAAACTACAGATACACAAGCTGATGACACCGATAGCAAAGTGAGTGGTAAAATAGCAGTCACAAAGTTTCCCACATAAAATTTTAGGTTCATAAGTATTCAAGGTACAATTAATCCAACTAAAGCAGGTTCTTGTCATAGCATATATCCATAAGAGGAAGCCCCATGAAAACATGGTCTTGCCATCCAACCAGTTGATCCAAATTTGGTCTTCCACTTTTGCTACCATTGCCTAGCATGATAAACATCAGAGTAAGAAAAACCTTAACAAGATGTTCGTGTGCATAAATGACGGTTCAGGGAATGGTTTTGATTTAGCTTGTCTGACAGTTGATTCTATATGCAGATATTTTACTCAAATCTCGAGATTCTTAGTCTTGGTCATCTAAATACAATTGAGTGTTTGCAACAACAATATGCTGAAGCTGCGCAAGATGCATAGAGATAAAATGAACTGAAGTAAATTGTAATATGGCAAACTAAACAACCAAAACCTGAGGAACTTTCTTTAGTAGTTCCCCACAAACTTTCTAATGCAAGAACACCAGAAGCTGCCATACACAACAGGACAGCTGTTATTCAATTCTACTTGACACAGATTGAAAAAGTTCTTTTTCTGTCAACTATTATCCTTCACCACAACCTATATTGTCCACAGCTATGAGTGAAATTGTAGTGTCTCCAATTTTGATCCTCATAATTTTCTACAATCGAAACAGGACCTTTATATACAGACTCTGAAGTGGATTAATAAAATCAAATGCCAATATCTGAAGTGGTGTGATATATATTGTTTGGAACTAATTACAGGCTGCCACTATGCTTCTTTCCTCAGAAACACCCATTCCTTTCCAGTGAATATTTTGTCATTGACAAAAATAATTTCAGCATTCTTCAACCTCTCTATTACTGTATAACTTATCAAATTACTGTGTAATGAAACTGCCAATAATCCTGTTGTTACTAGCAAAACACATGCACGTCTTCTACTAATCTTTTATAATAGACAAAACTGAAAGCTTATCATGGTAGAAGGAAGAGATGAAAAATAAAACACTAAAATCCTTCCTGTGGCAAGGCAATCATGAATATGTCGATTGTTGGGTTTAACAATCAGCCCAAACTATATCAAAACAAATAGAAGATCTGGAGAAACTGTAACTTTCAAATAATAAAGAAGGCTCACCTTCACCTCATGTTCTCTTTCGCTTGAGTGTCTTTATTTTGCTTAAGATATAACTGATAACCTCCTTCAGTGTGGCTTTCCTTCCTTCTTTGACATTCCAAAGTTCAGAGACAGCATACCTCCCACTTGGATTATACTCATTAAGTTCTTTTAAGGCTGTAACGACACACTCATATATCTCATGACCCCACTCCTCCTTCAGATTCCGTAGCTTCTCATCTTCCTCATTAATTATTTCCTGCATCACACGGCATGGAAGCGAATTAATCATCTTTTTAACCACTTTATAATTGTCCTTAAGAAAGGGTGATTTGACAGGATTAGTTGTGTCAACCCATATGACTCAATTCAATCTGATGAATTAAACGATTATGCATGTCAACTTGCTCTACAAGCATGATAATTGTTTTGTGTTTGTGTTGAGAAAATTAAACATTATTAATTAACAGAGAATGTTCTTGTCCGGCCAAATAGTGTAATACCGTGCATTCTCAAGAAATAGGACAGCAACCACCAACATGTATACACATAAAACTTCAGTTTTTAAATTCTTCTCCATTTCGTCCAGAGCAAGGAAAAGGATATCCAACTCAACTTTTACCCAACTCTCTGACATTGAGTGGATCTCACCATACTACGAGGTAAGATAAAAGTTGGAAAAAGAGTTGAGCTCTAAAACATCTTTCAAGACAAAACGTACTCATAATATATACGTATCAATGCATCGCAAGGTAAATTAGCACACACAAATAGCATAAACTCTCCGATACAATAGTAAAATGGGAGAAACTGAGTTGGTCGGGCGCCAAACGCGGCCCATCTATAACAGAAGAATCCCCAAAATGTTCCCTGTTTGAAACTCCTGTAGACATATAAGAAGATAGAGGGACATGAGAGAAATTGCATTCAGTCCACAGGTACAACCTTACTATTTTGAAAGTGCACTCCTATCCTATTGAAAAACCCTTAAAATTTATACGATAAACCTAACCTATCTGTATCTCCATAAACCATGTTTCTTGCAACTTCCCAAAATATCAAAAGCAGGAAAGACCATAAAGTAAAACAAAGTTGCCTAGTTAATGCCAAAGACTAATTTATGTTTCAGAATTGGTATCATGAAATAACTCAAGCACCAAGAAACAGTTGGAAACAAAACAAAGTTACATATTTGCACTTGAAATTACGAGTGGCTAGATAAGCTTTTTAAAATGATATATAGTAGCAAGCTGCAGTGTACAGTTGAACTTGCATTATTGGTTATTGAATGACTTTGGAAACGAAAGATTTGACAGTATAGAAAAGATATACCTGAGCATTCCCATCAACAGTTATAATCTTAAAAGGATGCCAATCTGTTTTTGTTAGATTATCCTGCCACAAGGAGCATAAAGTGGAGGCCTGCACCTGTGCTTCCTCATCACTAAATCGTTCCTTGCATACGTTGTAGAAGGGCTTGTAATCAAGATCACCCATTCTCTTTATCTGAATATGAGATCGAACATCCAACATACCTCTCAAACCCTAAAGAAAAAGTAAAAGCTTTCATGACTTTGTTATCTCTTTACTATAGAGGAATACTAATTACAAATCAGTTTTTTTATACTTCTTTTCCTTAAAGGATAAGATAGTAGGACTTATTTCCATTTTTATAAGGAAGAATCTAATATGGTGGAAAACATGTACAAACGATTCATAACTAGCTACATATATCTGACTCTATATCATACTCTGGTCTGAGACATAAGATTATGCCAAACAGAAAAAATGTGAAGTTGGATGATTGTGACAAGAAAATTTATCATATACCCAATAGTCAATATTGCGTCAATATAGAGAAATGAGGGCGGGTGGAGAAATGACCTAGGATTAAAATAGGTCAAGGGTTTGATCCTTTGCTATGTAACCAAAAACAAATAAACCCTGTCATAGGCAAAAAAATAATAAAGAAAATCTAAAACAATTTGGCCATCTAATTTTCGTGAAAGAAATAGATGAGCATAGTGCTTATAATAAACATAGAAATGATTTTATGATAATCAAAGGGCTAAATCATTTCCAATTTGGCTGATTTGCTTGGATGATCTTAATTGGGTACTTAAAACATGGATGGTTTTCATTATGGGACCACATTGTAGGATCTAGGCCAACAATCTGGTCCTTACTTTGCATAAAAGGAGGAAATTTTTTTTTAGATAATTATAAAATCAGTATAGTCCCAAATACAAAGGAAAAAGAAATGCATACTGCTATTAATTCTTTACGAGCTTTCTGTAACTCATCATTGCTTTGGCGCTCTTTGGTGATAAGAGTTTGATTTAGAGATTCTAAATCCTCAAGCTCATCAACCTTTTCCTCCAATTCATCATTCATTTCTTTTATCTTCTTTTGAACTGCATCGTCATCTTGATCCCCGAGATGCTTCATTACCTCTAATTTCCCTTTTATCTCTTCAATCTCCATTTCCAACTTCTGTTTCGCATCCAACTGCTTTTCTAACTCAAGTATTTTGTTTAAGGCATCCTCTTTTTCCCTCTGAAAAGTTAAGGGTCCTAGTCAGGGAAAACCAAGGAAAATATAATATATTAAGGAAGTTTTACACTTTCTAGTCAGGTTAATAGTAATTCACATACCTTTTGCTCTTCAACCAGTCTCAAGACATTCTCATCCGCCTTTTTCTGCTCCACGGAAGCCAAGTGAAGTGAATTGTTTCTCTGATCATTCTGTGGAAAAAAAACCTTATTAGTAACAAGCACACATAAACCAGGCAACAGCTTCACTTACTGCCATGCAAACATTTTTTTTAAACAAGATAATAAGCTATGTGCATGCCTGTGTTTCATTTACAAGAAGTGCAAGTGTACTTGAACATTATATCTTGTATGACATTGACTATGAGGATGCACTGTTGACCAGTTAAAAAAAAAAAACTGGATTGGGCAAGCCCATAGAATACAAGATAAAATGAACCAAACTGAAAATATTTTGATGCATCCCAGTGGAAATAATGGATCCTTTTGATAAACTATAAATGACTCTTTTACTACTTGACTCCCAATGCATACAACTAGCCCCTTTTATTGAGGTCTCACATTGTTTAGTCTCCCAATAATCACATAGGAAACTGAGTCCGACTTACACTGTATATACAAAAAGGAAATGATTCTAATGCTACTTGTTTGAAAATGCATCAGCCCATTTCATAGAGGTCTATAACTCTTCTAGACTCCTATGTTTATAGAAAACTGAGTGGACTCCAACTTCATTAATTAAGTTATACTTCAGACACTTAAATCATTGAGTAAAGAATAAAGCATTCACTGACTTATGGAAATAATCAACTCAAATTCTAGAAATATCTACAAGTCCAATCAACTAAGTTAGAAATTAAATTCTGTCTAGACTGATGTCAATCATATTTGTAGCTAAATGACCTAACACTAGTACAGCTAACAAACTGCAAAAAGTGGACTGCTAGAAAACAAGTAGATTGAATGGTTAAATTCTTAAAATGCACAAAATTGAATAGTACAAGAATATGACATATATTACCTTCTTCTTATCCTCGTCAAGCTTTTGCCTCTCACGCTCAGTTAGTGCTTCACGTTTGTTTAATTCTTTGCTCCAGGAATCAAGTTTCCTTTTCTTCGACTCCAACTCATAATTCAGTTTCTCTTGTTCATCTAAAATTCTTCGAACATTGTCTCGTGCAGTCCGCTGCATCTTCCTCGTTTCTGATAAGCACAAAAATGTTTCGTCAAGGAACAATAACAGAATTTTAAACAGGACCCAACAGTACCATATACTGTATAAGAACATCAAATGCAGATAATAAATTTCACGACAAATGCAGGCACATTTAAACAAGACAATGTCCTCTACGCATGCCCATAAACAAAGACAAAGCACAGAAAAAGGGACAGAAACAAACCTTCAACAAAGTCGTTGTGTAGCTTGTCTTTCTCTTCAAGCATCCTACTTAATGACATTGTGTTCTCATTGTATTTGTACCTTAGTTCATCCAGATTTTCATTTGTCATGTCAATTTTATTGGCTAGGCTGGCCACAACATCATTTCTGTTTTGAGCTGCTTCCTGGACAATGTCAGATACTGTTCTTAGCTTTCCTTCCTCACGAAGGAACGTCCCCATCAGCCCTTGGGAATGATAATCATCAGCACGTGCACACCACCCATAAATACTTGAGCCAGGCTGTTGTTTTCGTGCATTCCAATCCTTTTTGCCGTGACAGTCAGTTTCAAACATTTTCTCAAAATCAGTAGCATTCCCGAAACCACTCCAATCTTTACTAAAGCACACCACAGCGCATGCAGCTGGCTCTTCTTCATTCAAAAAGGTATGAACTTCTGAAGGTTTATATTTAGAAAACTTCCTCAACCAGTATCTAGAATCCAGCAAATCTTTTCCATCCTTTGGCTGAATCACAATGTTCACAACGATGCCAGTCCAAGGCCACACATAGAGATCTTCTTCTTGCTTCTCTTGTGGAGCGACAGGTGTGGGTAAAAGTGGGCGCTGTATTTGGTCTGCTTCACTGGCTAGGTCATTCTCCAAATAGATGGCCAAGGCTAGGTGGTTGGCCTTCTGTTTGGCACTTCTGTTAGCAGAACCTTTACCCACCCCAGAAGCATGTTGGAAGAGGTCCTTGAACTTGTAATCTTGTTTCTTCTTCCCGGCACAAAAGGGGCATCTAAGAGTGCCGTTAGGACCCTTTACTTTATACTTTCCCTCCCTCAACTGCTCATATGGTTTATCTTTGTAATCGTTGATCTCAGACTCACTAATATCTGACTCTTCTTCGGAGCTGTAGTCCATCTGGATTATCTACAAGCATTACAAATCACTAAACCCACTACACCGGAAAACTTGCAACAAGACAGTTTAAGGTAATTACAGCATGGATTTCACTCCAAATGGTCAAAATCAAAAACATAATTGAGAAGAAAACAAAATTGAACATACAATCAAATGCTTTCTGCGTGTTTAAAAATAACGAATACAAAAACAGTGTTTGTGTGCAAATTACTCCTGTGACTTAAAACTCATGCTTCAATCTTCATGCTGAGTTCATTTTCCTTATATTTCTCAGTCACAGAAACTACATTTCAAAATTCCAAACAAAAACCTCTTCGCTTCTTGCAAATTTGAAGCCGCATTTCAACATGCAGATAACACAGGATCAACATAATCAAACACATTATCAGCCAATAAGTGCAGATTGTAGTGAGAGAAAGTGAGAACTTACAGTAGAGAGAGATAGAGAGTGACAGTGTTCCTCGAGCTCTTCGTCTTCTTCTTTGGGTTGGGTGAAGAGTAAAATGGTCAGCAGCGAGCCCTAGTAATGTTTCTGATACCAGAGGTGAGGATCACGTGACTGGAGCTCAGTTAGATTATTACAATTTGCCAGCAATGATTTGGCTACGAGTCGTTGTGGGCTTTTTCAACTTAGTTTTCTTGGTCGATATTTCATTGTGGGCTGGGGCAGCCTTTGGCCCCAAATTCTTTTCCGGCTGAGATTTGCTGCTATTGTTTAAATATAACTGATTCCGTTACATTGGTCGATATTTGCTTCGTTGTGTTATGACTCCCTAAAAAAATTAATTATAAAAAAAAAAACAAAAAAAAAGTAGACATTTTACTTACTTGAATCAACTCTTCCCCCTAATTGATCCAATACTTGGTTTTAAAAGTATTGGATTACTGATTTTAAAAGTGGAATCCATGTATTTTTTGATCCATTGTGTGAATAAATATGGGAAGATATTGGATTGCCACGGCTCTTTTTCTGACATCTAGCGTTTTTAAAAAAAAATTGACAACCCAAAATGAAATCCAACAGCCAAAATATTAATATTAATACATCTAAACCCAAAAAATCATCCTAAAATATATAAATGTTCCCTTATTTGTTTATAATTTGTGTGTTTGCATTTTACCATTTATGAATTAAAATTTTGTTTGAGTCCAGGCAATACACATAGTTGTATTTTGGAGGGCATGGGGACGGAATTTAAGTTTAGCCTCATTTGGGTTGGAGATGACCTTAGAACTCAAGAGGCATCTAGTTATCTTTCCTACAACGGGAAACTTTAAGATCATCCCCAATGGGGGTTGGAAGTGAGTCTCTATACTTTATGGGGCTATAAAAGTAACAAACCCAAAATGAAAAAGCATCCCTAGTGACACACATTTAATATTTCTCTTGTAAGGTTGATAAAGTCACTTATCTTAAATAATAATATAGATATTTTGGATACAATAATATCTTATTAAGACAAAATACTTAATCTAGTACATAATAGGTTTCAAACCGATGAATAAGTAGTTGGAAACACATTTAGAAAGTGTGTATTATGCTTGTCCCTCTAATTCGACGGGTAAAACAAACTTAATATCAATCATTTCGTAACATAACTTCATCACAATAGTATGCCCATGAATCAGCTTGAATATGCAACAAATTTTTCACACAAAATGTATGAGCATTGGATCCTTTGTTATGATTGTTCTGTTAGGCATGGTTTTGATTTCATGGCTTCATATTTGGCGACACATTTCTCATTTTATTCTTTTGACTCATGTTGTTTTATTGAAGGTGTTATTGGGCTCTCGCTACTCACTAACATTCAAGGCCAATATAAATCATGTTCAAATTGCATTGAAGGCGAGTTTTCATCATGAGTTAACCATCCCTAAATTTAACCAACCAATTACTACACAAAACATCACGAAAATATGATATAATCATTTCTCATGCCTTTTGGCATAAGATGAAAATTGAAAACCTTATAATTGATAGAGAAATAGAAATATCCATAAATGTATCAAATTCTTGTTTGTGCAACAAGATGTATAATGGAATAATAATCCACACGTTAGATCAAATTAATCCACACATTCAAATACTTAGAATAATAACAATTTAGTCTTAGTTTTTAGGAGTTTAGTGGAAATTAGCCTACCCTATCTTAGAAAAAAAATAATCCACACTACCCCAACAACTCCATAAAAGAAAACGAAAATTATAAAAATTCACGACTCCAACCTTGTGTGAGATAGTTTATAAAATATAAAAAGGAATGAGGTCTATTAAATAATAATTATCATGATGGAAACCCAACCTAAGTTATGAAATATAGCCCAACTATAGTAATAACAAGTCAAATGAGTGTTATGATGGAATGCTAGAAACTTTAGAACTTCATTCACAAATGTTATATTTAGTCAAGCAAAATTAAGGACATTTGTCTAATGGATGTGGAGCATTGTACTCTTAATAACTCTATTGTGTATTTTAAGGATATAAATGACAAATGCATCCTAGATAGAATAAGACATTTCACTAAAGTATAATGAAACAACTTGAAATAGAATAAGACATTTCGCCCCTTTTGAAATAGAATAAGACGTTTCTCTAGGTCCATTATTAGTTATGAAACATAATATATGCATAGCCATAACAAGCGCATATTAAATAATTTTTGGAGAGAAAAAATAAAATTGTTCGAGGCATCCGACTAATCATACAAGGTCCTTGGTCTAAAGTCGAATGACATCTCACATGCTATTTATTTTAAAGTATGATAGAATGAAGTGTATATGTTGATGGTGATGATCATGTTGATTTGTCGATTAGGCTGCGGCAGGACAGTAGGCTGGTCACGTAAGTATTGCTCCTGATTGCCTTCCTGAACGAAACGCTCAATGATGGTGTGTAAGGATATGCAAGATTTAGTGTCATGACCATTGTCCTAGTGGAATTAGCAGAACAAACCAATGTTATGGACGTGATGCCTAGAACGCTCCCCCAATGGTGGAATGAGAATTATATGAGATTCAGAATAGGGTTCACAACCTGATAAATTGAGTTCTTCTTTTGGTTTGTAACTTTAATTAACTTTCAATTGGATTTTTCTTTAGGTTGTGAATGCTTGAGAAGTTGATGTTGAGGTTGTGAATTTATATATGCTTGAGAAGTTGAGGTTGTGAATTTATTTCTTTAGGTTGTGAATTTATATTTTTTTGCCCAAATCTTCACACACATGCTGAAGGTCCTCACCTTCACCCATCATCTATCATACATTATCACTAAGTTGGGCCTAAAAGTGCTGAACCATTTTATAATGAGATCTCGATTTGATATTAGAAATCAGTGAAAAAATATGCACAACACAAACCATATCCATTTACGGTGGATCCAAAAACAATTGGCATGCTCAAGCACTTTCACAAATATTTTTCGAAGCACTGTAGTATCTGCTTGTCTAACGACCGATCCTTATAGGCTAACTACCCCTACAAGAAATCATAATAAAATCCAACTCATCTGGTATGGTAGTGAGAATATCCATTTACCTGCTACACTGCCTCGACTATACCTCACACCAAGGTATTGGTACAGTATGTTTGCATAACCCCCCACTAGAGGTATAGGGAATCGAAATCCAAGGAAGATGATATGTCCCCTTCAGCATAGGTCATCGAGGATAATGCCTGTGAGGCCCTGAAAAATTCCAGAATATTATTACGCTCACAATATTAATTGCACGGTCCTATATGAGGTAAGTTGAATTTTTTCACAATTAAATATCATTATTATATTGGAGAATAAATTATTTTCCCACAAATTTTACGTTACAATTCTGGTGTTTTGACTTCGCAGAAAATTAGTAGATGTCGATACGAGCTTGTGATATTTTTCAAAGAATTTTTCTGAACACGGAAGTAGGAAAATAAGAAAATCAAAATAGTAACAGCCACTTGGCAGCTTGTGATTGGACCACTTGACAACTTGTAATTGGCTTGCCCATCATAATTGAGTTCATATATTTTTTTGAGATATAACTAGGTTCTATAGTACTACTCGGTGAGCTCGTTTAATCTAGACCTTTGAATTAGATCTAGACTGTAGGATCAAATCAAAGACTTTGGATTTGATCTAAGCCATTAGATTGGTAATTAAGAATGCATCTAGACCATTCATCTATGAACTATCATGCTGCTTCCCATATTTTACCAAACTCAACTTTCAATATAGACCTTCAAATTAAATATTCAAATTAATCCAAACTGTTCGAGTATTCTATAAATACACATTCCCTCATTCATTTTCCTAACACCTAAACTCTCCAAAACCTTCCTCTCTCCCTTCCTCTCCTTCACCATAACCACCCACCTTATGAGAGTTACTATTCACCAAAAAATACTATTCATCCTAAGTCACTATTCCTTCCAGAAATGATCTACGTGGTCACTATTCCTAGTTTCGTGCAACTTTTATCATGGGGTACTATTCATCATAGTATTTTACCAAGGTAATTTCTTTCCCTTACCTCATCCTTTATTCATATTTAACTTCATATTTCCTTTCTAAAGTGTTATTCTGCCAATGAAAAAAAAAAAGATCGAGAGGAGAGCTCTCTTCCTCCTCCTTCATTTTGAGAGTCCTTGGCTTCTCCCCATCTGAAATGGGTGTTTTTTCCCTAAGCAATGTCTCAGATCTTGGCCTCCTTGCCTCCAATTTGGTTTTCTTTAGCTTTTTTTTTAAAAAAAATAAAAATAAAATAAAATAATGTTTTCCCACTATCTTTTGCTCTTTGGTTTCGTATCTGCTGCTTTCGTCGTTCTTTCTCGATGGTGTGTGATTAGAACTGAGATTTTCACTCGACAAACAGACAAACAGGCTGACATGATTGGATTTTTTACCCGAAAAAGCAGACCATTTTGGTGTTGGTCGATTATTGAGCGGTTTTTTGGCCAGACCCGACAATCCTGATTGTCAAAGCTTTTTTTTTTTTTGGCTAAACAGTAGATATTCATTTGAAGAACAAGGCACAAACCCAGGATACAACAATAAGAACATAGCCCTGGAAGGAGGTTCTTGCAATATAGAGACTGAAACAACAACAACAACAACAACAACTAAGCACTAGTATTACAAGATTGTTAGAAAACAAATATACAGCTTAAACCCCAACTAACAAGGAGTTACCAGCAATCAGTGCTTAAATAAGATCAAGACAGAGAACAAACTCCCAAACTTCATGGGACATGAAACACCCCAAGAGTGGAGGGCATAACTGCTCAACTTTCATCAGGACATTCCACAGAATATCACAACATCTCTTAATCCCCTTGATCCCCAAGCACAATAAGAGTAGATACACCAAATTCAGCAGCTCCACCTCCAAAATAGAGAGATCTACACAAGATCTACCACAAAAGCAGCAGATCTAGCAAAATCATCCAATACCCAACTCTAAAAGACTGGGATACAAACCCTAAAAAAAAAAAAGGAAGAAACAAAAACCTTGCAAAAGCAAGGAGCAGACAAAATCCAACAAAAGTTAGGGGGGGAAAACCTCTCCACAACATAACGGGGTGAGAGAGGCTGTTATTGTCAAAGCGGTTTTGAACATAAAAAACCATTGGTGAACCGAACTGATATCAGCAAACTAAGCTAAATATAGTATAGAAGTTGAAGTATGGGGTTTCGAACCCTTGACCTCCACCTCAAATACTCAACCTCTTACTGCTACACCAACATGGTTCATTGGGGAAAGTTATATCATTAGTTTATTTAAACGTTACCAATCAGATAGTATTAAAAAAATATTAAATAGTTAGGGTTTTTGCTAACACCACCACTTTAAACCCTAGTCAGCGTCTTCTCCTCTCCCTCAGCGTCTTCTCTCTCTCTCTCTCTCTCTCTCTCACTCACGTAAGCTCTGTAGATTAAATTTCTGAATTTTTTTTTCCTGGGTTTGTGTGGTTGAAGAAGAGGGTCATGGGGGATGAGATGGCAGATAAGATGAAGTATGTAAATGAGGTTATATTGAAGAGAAGGAAAAGCAATGAAGAGCTGGCTTTAAGGAGGAAAGAGCAGTTGGAGCAGAGGAAGTTTAGGTCTCAGAAAAATAAGCAAGAATTTATTAAGAAACCTGAAGATTTCGTCAAAGAGTTTCGCTACAGGGTAAGCCATTTGCTCTTTTTCGTAATTTATTTGTAAGCGGGTATTGTTAAATTTCATGGTTTTCCTTTGTTGTATTTGTGCAAAAGAAAATCAAATCAACAAGTTTGAATTTGAGGATCATTCTATCGTTGTATGTAAAAGAGGGTATTACCCTTTAGGTGTTTATCTTAAGTGCCCAAATGTTGTAAGTTGCTGTCTTTATGCTCGAGTTCTTTGTGAGCCTTTGGAAGGGGATTGATCTAGCAATCGGCTTGCTTATAAAGAAACTGTCAAAGGAAGCTTTGATATATACTTATAATTGTGATTTTGGTCTAAAGATTGGGTTTTGTTTATAAATAATGTTGAAGTTTGAGATATTTGTAGAGCACTTCCTCTCTAGATTTTGGATTTGAGAATAACGTGTTAAAAACTGAAATGATTTTATATGGTTAAATTTGTAGTAATTGGAGTGTGTTATGCTAGAATTGCGAACTTGAGATAGATGGCTCTTATAAGCTAGTTTTTCTATCTGCAACTTCATTTGCATATTCTGTCTAAATTTTGATGTAGTCCTTGATTGAAAGTATCTGCTGTTTTTATTAGGAGATGGACCTCGTCCATATGAAACACAGGTTAAAGAGAAAAAGGCCAGAATTGGAGGCAACTAACTCACAGCTTCTTTTGGTCATTCGCATACAGGGGTGGGTTTGCAATTTAAGATGATGAGTTTTTGTTTCACTTTATCTTTATCTTGAACTTCTATTTCTAATTTCTTTTCTTTTTTTTCAGGAAAAATGACATGCATCCTACTGTTAGGAAGACCTTATACAGCCTAAGATTGAGGAAGATTTTCAATGCTGTCTTTGTGAAAGCAAGTGATGCAATAATAGAGAAGTTGCTGAGGGTGCAGCCGTATGTTTCCTATGGGTAGGGTGTTGAACATCCTTCTATTTTTCTAATTTTTTGCCAGCAATTCTAAGAGTTTAAATGCATTACAAGACATAACGGCATTCTCATATAAATTCATGATTTGCATTCTGAATTGAGCAATAGTTGATTTTCTGTGATAGACAATAAGTTATTCAGATTTTTTAATGTTTGCCGATTTTTTTGATTGAGCCTTAAGAATTCTGCCATTGTTGTGTTGGGACTTTGTATTTAGATGTATCTGAGGTCTCCTTGTTGCCCTTCTTATATCAAACTTTTTAAGCTTCATGTGTGACCTTAAGGCTTAACGTTCTACAAATGCTTGCATGCTATGTCAAGAACAAAGTTGGAACCTGTCATCAAGCACATAACTAACTATAAGTTAAGAACTTCAGTATCTGCAGGGGAACCGAAACCGGACTCTCGTTAACGTTCACATTCTGATGGATATCAGTGGACTTTATAGAAGTTTTCAGTGCCCATGTATATTCTAAGAGATGCAGTTATATATAGAAGTTTTTGTGTACTCTATGTTTTCTATCTATTTACTTGTCAATTCCCATATTGTGTCTGTTTTGGAACTGTTTAATATTTCAAACCTTGAAATGTCCATTGTTTGTTAGGTTTCTTCTCTAATAATTGAGCCTTGGTCTTGAACATTTATTGGGTTCTTTGAGGCTGTCAAAGTTCAAAGAAGCCTTATAATTTATGAGGAAAGAACAAAGTCTTTTACGTTAATAGCTGGGGATTGTCTACAAGTTGGGTAGGATCGATATACATACGAGTTTGTCTGTGGCTTTAGGAATCTTATTCTGTCATTCAGTCTTATCTTTGGCCATATCTGTTTATAATGTATGGAGCAATTGTTTACTTAATTGCATGTGAGCAAAAGCTATTGCGGTATCTTTTGTTACGCTTGTGCCGATATATATTGTGCCCCTTAAGTTTTTTCGTTTCCTCGTTCATATAAAAATATTTCTGGTTAGACAAGGAGGTGCAGAGGGTGTTCAAGCTAATATGGAGGATTGAATACAGGTCTAGGGATATTTCATTTCAAACAGAAATTCCGCATACGGTCATTGGTGCTTTTTACAATCTTGAGCAGGGAGTTCTATGGTTACTAAGATTTAAGATTCAATCATCAAGTTAAAAGTTTTATACTTTTTCTATTCTTTGACACCAAGTGGCTGAAATCCTTTCATAGTTAATATCTATTTTGTCATCTCTAATGTCTTAGTCCTAGGATTTCATTTTTTTGTTGTTCCAGTACTTGAACTACAATGTTGAGAAGTATAGTTGTTTTTGGTAGTCACATGGCTAGACAACATTCACTATAATTCCCCAAATCTAAATTCATCAATCTTTTGAATTCTATGGATATCCTGTTCAAAAGATCCAGCAATCAATAATATTTTCACCCATAGTGTTGCCTGTATACTGACCAATGCTTCATGGTTATGATGATATTTTGCATGTTTTCGAAGGTATCCTAACCTTAAGAATGTGAGGGAGCTGATTTACAAGAAGGGTTTTGCAAAGATAGACAAGAAGAAAGTTCCTCTGACAGACAACAACCTTATTGAACAGGTAGTGGATAATGTCTTGTTGAATGTTGGGCATAATTTACAAGTCAACATCTTTTTTAACAAGTTTTAAATATGCATTCATAATTTTCACCCATCTTTTATCTGGCAGGAAATGGGGAAGCATGATATTATATGCATAGAAGATATAGTGCATGAGATTGCTACCATTGGCCCACATTTTAAGGAGGTTACCAGTTTTCTATGGCCCTTTGTGCTCAACAAGCCAGAAGTAGGACTAAAAGGGTCAAAAATGGCATACAAGGATGGTGGAGACGCAGGCGATCGTGAGGACAAGATCAATGAACTAATTAGCAAGATGAATTAGCATGAGAAGAACCGGGGTCTCAAGATAAATTATTTTGGTTTAATGAGGATTGCAGTTGTATTCTCTTTTCATATACAAGAACAGTGTTGTATGATGTCTTGATGCAGTAAAAGTAGTCAAATGTTGAATTGTTCTTAGTACCCATTTTTCATTGCTTCCACCCAAGTTATGTTTGGGGTTAGGGTTAAAAAGAAAATGTCCATCTTCGACCCAAGTTATGTTTGGTGATTGAGATTGGGTTGGATTATGAGGTAAAGTTGAATTGCAAGGTTGTTGCTCCCTTTTGTCCAAGTTCAAATCCTCCTCATTGTATACTAGATTAAGGGCAATGATTTCCCCCTATTTTATCCACTTACACTCCTTTTTTAGTTATAAAAAAGGAGTGTAAGTGGATAAAATAGGAGAAAAAGGAGTGGGGAAATCACCACTCTAGATTAATTATCAAAAAAATATTTGTTTATGTTTGAAGACTGAGATTGGATTGTATTGGATTGGATTGGATTATGAGCTAAAGTTGGATTGAGATGGATTGGATTATGAGGAGATGGATTACAATTGCAAGGTTGTTGCCTTCTTGCACTTAAAGTTCGAATCCCCTCACTGTAGATGAGATTAATTATAAAATAGAATAAAAACTTTATTTGTGTTTGACGCTGAAATTGGATTGGGTTAAGGTAAAGTTGGATTTCAAAGATCTCTCCTTTCACCCAATTCGAATTCCAAACCGGAGTTAATTTTCCAAAAGAAACAAAGGTAACCTCGTAGGGAAGAGCGCCTGGCTTTGAGCACAGTGTGATCAACAAATAAAAGGGCAGAAGATTCAAACTTTCTTCCGAACCAAACGCCACAATATTTCTTCGAAACTCCAAATGGACGACAATGACCCGTGGTTAGCCCCAGACAAGCTTCACCATGTTCTCTTCTGCTTCTCTTTCACCCTCCTCTTCTCCACATTAGCCGCTCGAACCCGGTATCCGTTTCTACGTCGTCACTCTATTCGGGTCGGATCCATTCTCTCTCTCTTAGCCGGCGCAGCCAAGGAGTTCGCTGACGAGCTCGGGTTCTTCAGGTCCGCCGGAGCCTCCGCTAAAGACGCCGCCGCCGATATCCTCGGCGTCCTGATCGGTTCCATTGTGTTATATTTGATTAAGTACACGACACGACCCGAGAATGAGACGGGTCGAATCAAAGAGGTTTCGATGGTCTGATCGGGCTTTTGGGTCAGTATGGTTAATGGGGTTGTCTGGTTTTTGAGGAACATTGGTGGGTTTGGGTTAGTCGGGGTGGTTGAAGAAGAGGAGCTTGTTTGGATGGTAAGAGAGTGTGGGAAAAGGCAAGAAAGTGGAGATTTTGAGTTTGGGATTGGGAGAAATTAAGAAGCTTCCACTCAAGTGAGGCAGAAGTTAGGAAAAAAAAAAGAGGCATTTCGCAATCATTCAAGCAATTGGTTAACTTTAGGTAAGGTTTTTTTCAAATAACTTTGTTAAATCCAATTTATGTTTCTTTGAAATGCTGAACATGTAATGTAGGATAAAAGCCATATACGCTGATTTGGTTGTTCTTTATACCTCTGATTAAACTATCGTAGTTGGCAATATGCTTACTTCATTTGCTTTTACAATTTACAATCATTTCTTGATTGATCTTGTTCACTCCTAAAAGCAGGTTAGCTTGAGCATCTGAAAAGCGCTTTTGTTCAATTGAGTTTATTGTGGTTTCTGTAAGATGACCTCCAATGTTGGGATTTATCTATCTTTTGTGTATGTCCAGGCTCCAGGGCGTGTGTTGCATTTACTTTTGTCATCTCCTCAATGTATTGAATGAATTTCTTACATGGTTTAGCACGGAATAAGACATATAATAGTGGAATATGTTGCCATAACTCTTACTTAACCAGAAAAATTGGGGAATTGAAACAGATAAATTGGGTAGAAATGCTTGTTTAGTTGAAGGGGGAATAGTAAGAGTATCGGTATAAGAGGTATGAGTTTGTTTATGCGGATGGACCCTTTCTCATTCTCATTGGAAAATTGGGACAGACCCTTCTTTGTGGCTTCATTCAAATCGGAGTTTTGGGTGGAGCCTTCTTTCATATTTATGCGGATTGGAAGGAAGAAGGATTCCTGTGTGCTACAAAAGTTAAACATAATAAGTATGTATGACACCCGATTTATGTCGTTGAAAAAACTAGTTATGGTTCTCCAAGTGCATGGGAAGTATTGGAATTTCCAATATTTAACATATATTTTAAACTTTCAGATATATCAAACTAGAATCTTATGTCTGTATAGATTACGTGAGTATTGTTGTTGCTTTAGGATATGAGAATGTGTACTCCTGTTTAAGTATCTATGTTATGTATGTTTGTTCCTATTTGTTAATCCATTAGAACTCCTAGGGGATTTCATTCGATATTTTTGGCTACTGAAAATGAGGGCTTTAACATTAGAAAGTCATGAAGTTATAGTGAAGGAGTTATTTCTTTAATAAGTTGAAGATAAATCTGTCTCCTTGTCAGTATGTACTGCTTGTTGTTGACTTGTCATGTTAATCTATGAAAGATTAACTTCTGTAGCAGTTTGGATGATTGTCAAGTGAGACGGAATCACAGTATATGAAGATATTGGTTTGATCATACATTTTTTGCAGCATAAAATCAATAGTTATATGGAACAGGAAAGCATGTTGGCAAGGTTGTTTGATAGCTAATTTCTTGCTAATTTATGCTGTTTCTTCTTTGATGTGATCTTTTCTACTGCCCTTAGGTTATGAAGCAACAAGTAAATACAATTCAACAAGTGAACACAATTCTAACTCTCATGCTACCTCCTCATAGGTTTTTCACTAACTTGAATGGGATGACATATTTGCACTGTGGTACTGAATTGTTTACCTGAGGAACTACGATGATACGTTTTCTGTTGGTCATTCTGGATTGTCCCTGGCAAACTTCAGCTTGTTTCAATTTTCTTGTATAAAACTTTTGTTTGAACCGTGATTGTTTACTTTAGTGACGAAACATTTTGCATTTTCTGTTGCGTTTGGATGTTTTGCACCTAGTGCTTTACTAAAAGTAACTGTACTTTTTTCTTTTATTACATTTTTTTCTCTAATTGCATGCATGGTATTTATGTTACATACGCATGTTATATAGGTATGCACTTGTATATATTTATGTGTGTGTATGTGTGCATTCCAAGCTCAGAAACTTTGAAAGTGAAATCCAATATAATCATGTGAAGGGAACCATTTTCGGTGTTGGTGTTGGTGTCGAAAATGGAAAAGATGCATTCACTGGGGCCTAGGCAAAAGGGCTCCTTATTGAGTTAGTGAGCTGTCATTGTAATTTTCCATGAGCTTATTTACATGTCAATTGATGGCACATGCTATTTATGCTAAAATTGAAAAATGAGATTAAAATGGAATTTTGCATTTCAACTTTGAAGGGGACTGGGGAGAAATATGACAGAAGATAGTAAATTTCAGTCCTTCATGCACATTAAGTGATTACTGGGATTTCGGGAAAGAATGAAACCGGTGAACAGCTATATGCTGGAACTCCTTGAAAGCTCTATTTTCTCAAATCTTATTTTAAGAAAGGACTACAATAATTTTGTTACCTAGTTTCATATATTTATGCTGACAAAGGTCAATTCTGCTCTGCCCCCGTCACACCGAAAAAAAAAGGTGTCAATTTTCATCTTCATACTCTTTTGGTTTGTAATTATCTTCTTTCTTAGAGGGGAAGAGGAGAGGATCTCTATCTTGGCTAATTATTAATACAGACTATTTCATTTCTATATATGATGTATGTACCCGCCAGAGCTCATCATGCAACTGTATTTTATCTCCCTTCCTGCATTATGTCCTGATGTGGGCTTCTGGATTATTGATGTAGGTCTGATGATAATGTTGATCGGTCATCTTCTGAAGCTCCTTGTTGAAGGCTTTTCAATATGGTCACCATCTTCCTCGGGCAGCTTGACAGCTGTATAGGTTCCCGCCCCAAAGAGTGCCCCGAGAAATGGTGCAGTGAGGTAGACCCATATGGCTTTGTAGTTGTTTGCAGCTATGGCTGGCCCTAATGTTCTCACTGGGTTCATGGAAGCTCCTGTTGTTTCCCTGCACATAGTTGAAAATTAAAGAAAGTTTCAAGATACCATGCTGAAATAGTACTATTCTTGAATAATTCTTTGAGCAGTATGACTTCCCTTTCATATTGACTTGCTGAATTCATTTTTCTACATAGAATTTAGAATGTATTTAATTCATCGTGCCTGTGAACTGTATTCTTAGTGTATCTCAAGGACTTGGTAGAGGTCCTTTCAGATAAATAGATGCACTCATATAGAATCATGGGTTTTGCTAGGACCAGTCGCTCGAGTACACGCAGGTTGTTCATGACCGTTGATCAAATGTGGGTCCCACAATGATCAACGACCAGAAATGACTCACCGTGCACGGAGGACTTGACTGTACCATAGCTCATACATTCGTTATTCAGCCAACCAGCCGAAAGTGAGATTTTGCAGTAAAATAGGTTGGGGTTTCTGACATACCCAGCTATGAGTATGTTAAGCATGACAGTTGCTCCCACCGCGATTCCCGCCAATTCTCCCACCTGCATGTTGTTAAAAATTTTGACCAAAATCAGTCATGTTAGGTTAGGAGATTCTTTGCACTTTTTTTTTTTTTTTTCGGACTGATTAGTGAATAAAATACAATGTGAAAGGTGACATCTGATACATAATTTTTACCGAAAGGCTTATCTAGTCCTTGTCTGGAGATGTGCTTCTACTTCTAAGTTGACATTGGTAGTTGGTTCTAGAGAAAGATACTTGAACTGTGATAAAACAAATTTTAATATTTATTCATTGGAAATTGGACTTGTGGAGGCCCCATCCCCCCAATCTAGCTAATCTTCATTGACTCTTGTCTCATGCATTTTGTTGATGAACATATTTTAAAATTGGATTGGATTTCCTGTCTCCTGGAAAGTCCTGTGAAGATGACAGAAAAACTGGAAGAAATATACTTATTTTAAACCAGCCTAAATATCCAATCTCTTAAGAATATAAAAATAAGGCAAAATGAAAAAAAAAAAGAAAAAGAAAAAAAATCCTATATCATTATGCCAGCAGCTCCCCACAAAGCTGAATCTCCAAAAGAAATTATTTCAAAAGAAAAGAGGCATAATAATGTTATAATATTTGCTTCTCTCACATAATTGTATTAGAATGATCGAACCTGAAAATTTCTTATTACCAAAACCTCTATTCAAAAAAAAAACATACAAGTGCTAATTACGGACCAACTGGTTTAACTCACGATTGCAAACCTATATTTTTTTTAAATTAGGTTTCACATTCAAACACATTATTGCTACATGAAAAGGAAGACTTACAGCTCTAGTGTCGGTGGCCACAGCAGTGACAACAAACATGAGGTTGAAGCTAATAATGAATTCCAAAGCAAAAGCCTGGCCATAGCTTCCTGAAGGAACTGTAACTCCACCACCCATTATGGGGTGAAAAATAACCTTCAATGCAAATGCAGCACAGATTGATGCCAAAACTTGTGCTCCAACATAAACTGGCACCTGCCAAACCAAACCAACAAACCCAACAAATTATTAGCCCAAGAATTCAAAGATCTAAAAAGACTGGCATTTTGGTAATTAAATACAGATGCAGTTTTCTTGTCTTCCTAGCAGCTCACATGCTTCCATGAGAAGTGCTTCAGTGCAGCAAAGGCAATGGTGACAGATGGGTTGAGGTGGGCCCCAGAGATGTGGCCTGTTGATAGAATCACAATCATAACAGCTAGGCCAGTGGAGGCTGCAAGGCCTATGAGGGTTTCTGAGCCTTGTGTCTTCTGGTTCATTATGGCTGTGGCTGTTCCAGCAAAGATCAGTATGAAAGTGCCCAAAAATTCAGCTCCTACCTGATTTTGGCACCAACCCAACAGAAATCACACATCAAAGAAAAATGGGTTGGTCTTAAAATTTCACATTTGATGCATATTTCTTCACAATATCATGCCAAGACTTCACTTTTTTTTTCTTTTCTTTTTTTTTTTAAACGAAAAAAAGGAAGGCAACATGAGATAGGAGATTTTGGGTTTATGTTAGAAAAGCTCTCTCTCTCTCTCTCTCTCTTATTTTTTGTGAATTACCTTTCTTGTAAGTGAGACAGGAGGGTGAGGCAAAGCACAAGAAACTTTAGGCAATGTGCCTTCTTCCAAAGCCCAATCTTCAGCAGTGAAGCATCTGCTGCAGCTCTTGAGGAGTGATTTCCTACCAATCCCACTGCTTCTGTGATCTGCCTTGAACCCACCAAAGAGAGGAGCCCCAGGAGTGCCTGGTGTTACAGGCGTTGAAGGAGCTGATAGAACTTCCTCATTATTATTGTCCATTTACTTCCAAAACAAAACAAAACAAAAATAAAAAGGTACAAAAGGTGTGAAATAATAAATAAAAGTTCAGAGATAAGAGGAAACTTCAACTTTCTGTTTCACTTGTTTGTCTCTCTCCCTCTCTTTATGTGTTCATGAGCGTGAGTGAGCTCTGATTATATAGTATTAAGTTGGTTGACTTAGAGAATCCCAAGGGAAAACAAAAAGGGAGTTTATAAAAATAATTATAAAAAAAGGTAAGAAAAGAAGTAAGTGGTTATGAGGGAAGCGGACGGTGGGACACTCAGATTTGATTTATTTACTAATAAAATGAGGTAAGTGTAGTTTTCATTTTTACTTCAAAATAATGTAAATTCAATGTCTATATTAAGCTCAATAATTGTGTAAGCCAAACCGCCATATTTGGATGTGCAGTGCATGTATTGCATTGTGTGGTTGGGTAAATTACAGGCAATTTGTTTGATATGCTTTTACTCTCATATGATTGCCACGTGAAGAGATAGCAAAGATTATGCGCTTTTCGATAGGCAGGGATCCATTTGGCCAAACTCATCAAACCCGTCTATTCTAAGTTCTAGATTGGTTTGGTTTGGTTTGGTTTTGACTAAGAAAAAAGTTAAATAATTTAAAATCAAACTCAATCATGATGGTTTGAATTACATGGAAGGAAGATTTCTCACACATACGCACATACACTACTATGATGTCATGAGAGTTCGAACCTGAGACCTTTAGTCTGCAAGTCAATGCCCTTTTCCACTGGGCCAAGAATCTGACCCTGTTGGCTGAAGTTATTGATCTTAAATAGTAAGTATATATATATATATATATATATATATTTTTTTTTTTGGGTCATTCGTTAGGGAGGGAGACGGAGAGTCTTATTGGGATTGCATCAAGATTGTCTTCTAAGTGAATCGAACCGTGTGCACTTAGGGGGAAGGGGAGAGTTTGACCCACTTTTCTGCTGTGGTGCCACCCCATGTGCAACTATATTAGTTATTTAATTTTGAAGTTTGATGTCATGTTAAATTTTAGGATGGTTTGATATAGTAAGTTACGAAACTTTTTGTTGTAATATGGCTAACAAAGTTGAAGAAAATGTGAAAGAAAAAAGGATTGGGCTTATGACCAAATCGCCCAAGTCAAACCGTCCAAAATTGGTTTGATTTGGTTTAGTTTTCTCACTTGTTTGTATCAAAACTAAATTGAACCAAATTGTTCTGGTATAACTGGTTCGAACATGATTTTTCAATAAAATCAATTCAGTTCAAATTGTACCCACCCCTACTTTTAAAAATCCATCTAACATTATTTTCTCCGCCATTTTTCTATCCCATATTCGATTAAACCAAGGTTTTTATTTAAAACTGCCTCTTTTTGTTTTTCTTTTCATAAAGGGAATTGAATCTAGATCTACCTTCACTCACTCTAAAATTATGAATTGGAAAGTTTAAATTTCTAAACCATAAACCAGTTGAGCCAAACCTCTTCTACAACAGTCACTTTTTACCTAGAGTGAAAAGAAGCAAGTGGATCACTATTATAGGAACACCTTAAATTTCCTCTTCCCCCAACTAATTAATGAAGATACTTAGCTAGCTTAAATATTTTATAGCTTCCTTCTACCTTTGATAATTTAATGTGTGTGATCACCTTCATAATTAAGTCAAGCAACATGCTTGTGGGACATGCTTAAGCTATCTGAAGCATATGCATCACTCAGTACATGTATGTATGTCTCTGTGTCACGTTATTAAATCACTCACTAATTAAATACTATTAGAAAGCCAAAAAATTCAAGACTGATGCAGAGAATCTTTGGTAGTGAGCAGCAATAATATTATATACATATATCCATTCAAATAATAATTATATATTTATATTTATTAATACTGGCTATATAAATAGGCAATGACGGAACAAGAAATTTTTCAAGGGTGTGTTAAATTTTTGTTGTTGTTGTTGTTGGTTGGTATGGAAGATATATATAAGGGTTAATGACCTAAATGGTCCCCCAACAATTGCTCCAGTATCATTTTGGTCCACCAACTAAAATTTTCAATTCAAACATCCTTAAATTTTTTATTTTGTACCAAGATGGTCTATCCGTCAAAGTCTGTGTATTATTCCGTGAAATCAAGGGACAAAACCGTATTTTTAGGTGAGTATCCTCTTGTAAAACAACCAAGCCAACGTTGGCCACATGATTGCCTTCAGAATCCTCCACGGTTGGCCATGGATTCCGGTAGGTATCAGACTCCACCGCCACGGATGGGTACTCATTGCGCGGCTCAATGACGTTTTCCATTGTGCTGTTGACAGGGAGGCCGATACTGCTAGCATCTCCTTTGTTATTTAATAATTTCGTAGTGCTGCTGGTGTGATCACTTTGTTGGAAGGTAGGGAAATGGAAGGCTAAAGGAGTTGCACAAGGGGTTAACAGGAGCAGATCAAGAAAGAACTTTGGAGAGTGCAGTGTGATGATGACAACCATTTTTGTTTATGGGGAAGAGAGTTTGGAGCTCTACGAAAATAGAGCAGATTGCAGAGCTAATTTTCCAATTAAAAACAAGATTTTCAGCTAGAGGACTTAGACCTGGTCGATTGACCTCTATGCGAAAGTGTTCCGAAACTAGGGACACCAGGACTTTCAGCCTTTGTTTCTGCTACTTTTCTTT